AATGTTAATTTACGGTTATTCACTGTAAATTATACGGTCTTTTTCACTTCCAAAAACGGCATACTACCGTAAAATTAATGTCCAATACAGTTTTTCACCGTATATAGTGAGAAGGGTATAACTGCAGCCTGGAGATCTCCAAATGGGGGCGGGAACTCCAAAATGGGGTGGGAGCTCCAAAATAGGGCGTGGCTTCCTCCCATTGACAGACAGGCACATGACACGCATGCGCAATTTTTCCCCCAATCCACTTCAGTGCAAACTCCGCCCCACAGCTGATTCTAAAGATTTTATTGGTTGTGTCAATTAAAGTGTTGATTTCCTAAACTATGCTACAAAAAATGCTAACCCCATAAACCTACCCCACACCTGACCCTAACCTTAACCAGTGAAACTGACTGCACGGCGGGATTGGCGCTAAATAGCGTGGTAAAGAAAGATGCAGTTCAGAAGATAAACAGTTAATAAGATGATGCGATATGAGATCGTTCCGTAACTCCCCAACCGGACCTCACCGGACAATGGCACCTTTTTAGTTACACCCAGCGTCACTACCCCCTCCTACCCTGCGAATTTTGAGCCCCAGGACGCCCTCGTTGCTTGGAACAAAGCGATAGAGTGAAATCTTTCCCCTTCGCTCGTGGGTGATTCCCGTTTATATCATTAAGCAGAGGTTCAAACTCCAGTCCGAACACCACTGGCCACAAGCTTTGGGCTCTGCTCTCACGGAGAATATTTACTTATATAGCATATTTTATTTTAGATGAACTAGAAACAATGTTACATTTATAAAGTTTTATTTTGAAATGTAAGTCAATAACAATTGGCTGAAGCCAGAGCCAATGGTCTTTGCGCGAGTAGACCCCGCCCCATTTTGGAGGTTCTGCCCACTTTTGGAGTTCACGCCCCATTTTGGAGATCTCTGGTCTGCAGTTATATCTACTTGGCTCATTCGTTTTTTTTTTGAGTTGGACGTGCTACTTCGGCTGTGCGTCCTGCGTCATCAACCCGGAACTCAAGTTCGATTCAGTTCGATTTGTGAACCGGCTCAACAGGTTACTTCCTGAGAACCGGCTCAAAAGAACGATTCGTTCAAGAACCTAACATCACTAGCGAGAGTAAAGGAAATCCTTGTGCGAGCAGAGAGATTTTATTAATGTACTTTCGCGCTACAACAGTGCGCTCTCGACATTTGTCAGTAAAATAATGCTAATGTAAAATACCTACACTGGAAATTGAAACCGCGTGCGTACGCGAAAGTTTCTCATGAGCACGGGATAGTCTGTGTATTTTTTATTTTTGCTAAGGTCCCTTCAGGGGCTCCGTATTATCCTATGCACTAGTAAGCAAACTTATCTTAGATTTTTAGAATTATTTCAACAAAAATGATAAAATCTAGTGTAAAAATATAATAATAATGAAATGACAATGGAATTGGAAATAACTGATTCAAAATATTAATAACTATAATATTATCTCAAAGATACTAAAATAACACTGATAAAAAAAAATCCTATTATTTTTCTTAATTATCTTTTTTTTCATATTACCCTGTGTACTAGTAAGTAATTTTTTGATTCATTGATTTATTTATATGTCTGTCTGTCTGTTTGGTTATTGATTCCCAAAAAAACAACACGTTATTACGAACCAAGAAATTAAAAACTTTTTAACAGAATATTTTGTGTAAATGTAAGTTTTTGTCTTTTGCAATATATATATATATATATATATATATATATAATGCAGCTTTATCAGGGCAGTGATACAGAAAAAAAACAAGAAAAAAAAAACATTTTATTTACATTTTATGATCATATTTCTAAGATATTATCTTATTAAAAATGCTAAACATCTCATGAGAACAACTGTATATATACACATAATTTTAGTATTAATGTCAAAACAGTCAGAAGTCATGTGAATTTCATTGTGAAGGTTGAAAGTGTTAGTCAAATTCAAATCCAGCATGAGTGGACACTGTCCACTGTCTGATCTTGTTTTCTGGCACACATCAGGAGAGTTTGGGGAAGTGTGTTATGGGCGGATGAAGCTGCCGGGGAAACGTGATATCCCGGTGGCTCTGAAGACTCTCAAAGCCGGCTACACAGAGAAACAGAGGAGAGATTTCCTGGGCGAGGCCAGCATCATGGCACAGTTCGATCACCCCAACGTCATCCACCTGGAGGGGGTTGTTACCCGCAGTAAGCACTTTAAAAGACTATCAGTGTAGTGCGCTTCTTAATGGGACATTTTTGAAGTACATTATTTTATGTTCAAAATCTTTCAATACCATTTAGGTAGCAGAATGTTTTACCCCTTATCCCATACACATATGAATTTGACTATATCATTGAATAAAATGTAAATACATTTTTATAAGAATACATCATTTTTATACTAATTCAGTTTTTATTATTGATTTAATAAAACTTCAGTTAGTATAAAATTTAAGAAAAGGTATTTCGAAATAAAAAAAATTAAATGAATTACTCTACAAATAATAACATCATATATTATTTTCTATTAATTGTAAGTAAAAAGTAATGTAATTAATTCAAAATACATTATATAATCTTTATAAGAATATATATATATATATATGTCTTGTAATATGCACTTCATATTGGGGTCCTGATTACCCTGTCAAGGTTTAGTTTTAGTTTTTTGTTATTTTTCATTTATTTATTTTTGCAATGATCTGCTAAATGTACATTACTACTTCACCCAGTACTTCGCTTATAGTTGGGTAAAAAGTGAAGAAAACCCACAGTTATGTTTCTCTTCACCCAGACTTGCATCACCTCTTCAGTCTCCTGACATCTTGTTCTTGTTCTTTCCCCTGTTTTTCTCTGTGTTTTTGCATTCTCTACCAAGGCAAACCGGTAATGATCATCACAGAGTACATGGAGAACGGCTCCTTGGACTCTTTCCTGAGGGTGTGTAAACACTTTTGTGTTTGTTCTCGTATATCTCTGTAGTTTTGCTTCGCCTCGCTGAACCTCCCTGTGAACCGAAGTTAAACTTCACAGATTTCTCTCCCTCATCTTGTTTTTCTTCCCTCGAAACAGAGACATGATGGTCAGTTCACCATTATTCAGCTGGTCGGGATTCTGCGTGGCATAGCTGCTGGCATGACTTACTTGGCTGATCTGGGGTACGTCCACCGGGACTTGGCTGCCAGGAATGTTCTGGTCAACAGTAATCTGGTGTGCAAGATTTCAGACTTCGGTCTGTCACGCGTGCTGGAGGACGACCCTGATGCAGCCTACACCACCAGTGTGAGTGATAAAACCAGGAGCATACTCTACAACAGGGCTGGGCAACTTCGGTCCTGGAGGGCCACTGTCCTGCAGAGTTTAGCTCCAACCCTAAATTAACACACCTGAACAAGCTAATCAATGTCTTCAAGATCACTTGCCCTGCGTTCCATTCGGAAGGGCTCATCCCTATGCCCTAATCCCTTCAAAGGGTTTACCCTCCGGAGTGAGAGCTTTGAAGGGTTGAAGGGTGTAGGGGACCAAACAACTGTTTCTTGAAGTGCCCTTCTGCGTCATCATCACATGCCCACACGGAGGCGCCGTCATCATGCAAAGAATATTTGCAAAGGATCATGGGAGCCCGAAGTGTCCATCAGTTGTACCCTTCGAAATCCTTCATTCCGAAGGGCCCTTTGAAGTGGGCAGTTTTGAGCACTTCGGTTTGGAACGACCCTTCAATATGGCGGCCATGACGGTTTTCACTCCGGAGTGCCCTTCGGAGGGCGATATATCCCGTTTGGAACGCACCGTATAGCTACAGGCAGGTGTGTTTGATTAGGGTTGGAGCTAAACTCTGCAGGACAGTGGCCCTCCAGGAACGAAGTTGCCAAGCCCTGCTTTACAACAACAAGTATATGTGAAGTCACTGCGGTATTTGAAAGACAATAGAGTTAGCTCCAAATGTTAGTGCCATTAAACCATATGTATATTTAGGTAGCCTAGTTTAACTAATTTGCTAAACTGTTGCCCTGTGATGACACTATTTTCCATTCAGTCTGAATTGAAAAACTGACAGTTCATGTGAATTTTTGGTGTTTATTCATACACAGTTTGGTTATTTGTCTCCCTAATCTTTGTCTTCCTCCATCTTCATTGGCTTTTAGGGAGGAAAGATCCCGATCCGCTGGACGGCGCCGGAGGCTATTGCCTATCGGAAGTTCTCCTCCTCCAGTGACGTATGGAGTTATGGAGTGGTGATGTGGGAAGTGATGTCATACGGAGAACGGCCATATTGGAACTTGACCAACAGAGATGTGGGTCTAAACGACACTATATATTGGCAATGTTCAGAATAGTGCAGGGTTATTATAGTTAACTTAAATTTCCTTTCCTGAAATAAAATAAATGTTAACTAAAATAAAATCAAATATTAAAAAATCTAAACATTTAAACTTAAACTTTTTAGACATATAAAAAAACTCAAACAAAAACACATAACAAAATTACTAAAACTTTAAAATATAAATAATAAAAAATATATATAAAAATAAGATTTTTAATATTCTAAAATATAGTAAATAATAATAATAATAATACACTACAAAATACATATTATTTTTTCTTAATGAGCATTTTTATATTATCATATGGAGTAAATTTATCTTAGGTTTCTGGATATTTTTGAATTTTTTTACATTTGATCTAAAATTCAAAATATATATATAAAAACAAACAAATTAAATAAATTCATAATAATAGTAATAATAATAATAATGACCATGCATTCGTCATCCAGAAGTAATATCAGCTGCAATTTGCTACTTTGTGACTCATTATTTGATCAGATTACTGAGAGTTAAGACGTGTAGACAAAATTGGATTAAATAATTTATACAGTGTACAGTGGGTATAGAAAAGAATCACCCCCCTTTAAAGGGGTCATATGATGCGATTTCAATTTTTCCTTTCTCTTTGGAGTGTTACAAGCTCTTGGTGCATAAAGAAAATCTGTAAAGTTGCAAAAATCACATTTTGTTGCTTTGCAGCCTGGACACAATTTTTTTTTTTTTTTTTTTAATCCAGCTGTATTTACGCAACTTATAACATCCAAGTGAAAAATAATAAACCAGAATCACTGAGTTGGACAAAGGATCACCCCTCTCTTTAAAATGATTTGTAAACTCAATCAGGTGTAGCTAATCACCTTCTCAATGACACACAAAGCCATTTGACTTTCAACTGTGATCAGCTGTGCTCATTTGAGACACAAGTCA